AATACATCTGAAACGATACAGTACTATAATTGACATACATCCAAGGTTGGTGATGTTGAGAAGTGAGTAGATAAGTGAAGGGAAGACAGCACTGGGGGTCACCTTCACAAAAGCATTGATGAGAGTTAAAGGATGAACAGGCCTGCAGCAGGTGCAGGGTGCAAAGTACAGTGCCATAAAATAAAGTGGTGTGTATTAGGGGCTGAATTGTGTTCCCCCAAAATTCATATGTTGAAATCCTAACCCCTAGTACTTCAAAATATGGCCCTAGGTGATGACAGGGACTACACAAAGGAAATCAAGTTAAAGTGAGGTCATTGGGATAAGCCCTAATCCAATACAACTGTGTCCTTATAAAAAGGAGGAATTTGGACACAGAAACATGGAAGACAGTCTGAAGAGCCACAGAAGATGGCCATCTGCAAGCCAAGGAGATAGACCTAGAACAGGTCCTTCCCTCGCAGCCCTCAGAAGGAACCAGCCCTGCTGATACCTTAATCTTAGACTTCTGGCCTCCATAACTGTGAGGCAATAAACTGTTGTTTAAGCCACTCGGCCTATGGTGCTTGTGTTACAGCACCCCTAGAAAACTGATACAGTGTGTTTGGAGAATGAAACCACCAGAACAACTTTCTTGTTTTCTCCCATGATTGTAATGTCCTGGGAGAAAAAAAGGCAAAAGAGCCAGTCTGCAGAAGCCCACACAGAAGTCATCTCTCCCTGATCATTTGTTCTGATCCAGACCTCAGAGTCCAAGCCACCTGGACACTCCTCCACTGTAGTACATTCTTTGGGTTTTTCATAATCTCTTCTTATGTTTTTAGCCTCTTCTACTAAACCCAACTGCATTTTCCTGCTGTTAATTAGGGAGTCATTACAAGCTTCATATTAACTGTTTCATATTTGCCTCATTATCTTCCCCTTGTGACTTACTAACATGGCTCGTGTGTGTCAGAAGCTAGTGTCATTGTCGAGAACATCACATGGGATAATATGTAGTCCTAGCCATCATGTCTGGTGTTCTCTGCCACATCCTTTATTCTTCCTGACAATTCCAAATTTAACCGTGTCACTCTTGCTTTTGAGAAGGAATTGAGAAAAGAAGAAAAAGTGTTATTGACATTGACAGGGGGTCACATGGCTGCTGCTGGTACACAGTAGGGTCCACAGTGAACAGGCAAGGATTCTCTCTGGTCCCTCGGCAGATGGCACTGCCTCAAAGACCTTAGTTAGTTAGTTTGGTCATGGGACGGAGTCCACTTAAGGGTCCACGGTTGGTCCACAGGTAGTGGGTTTATTACCAGATTCCTGAATAAACATGGCACCTTCCAGGTCACTGGACAGGTTCCTGGCAGCAGGACTGGCCCCAGACCACAGCTGGAACTGAGTCATGGGTCCACTTCTGGGTCTACAGCCAGGACCAAGGTCTGAAGGCCTGCACAGATAGGCCTGTCTCTCTCCAAGTGCCTTGGTGGACAGGACTGAGCCTGGAATGGACTGCTGAGAGGAACTGGAGCCAGGTTACAGGGCTGCTTCATAATCCACAGTTGGATCCAGGGGCACAGTTGGACCTCCAGGGGCACAGATGGACATGTCTCCTGCCAGTCCCTTGTCAAGCAGAACTGCTTTTGGACTTGCAGCTGAGCTTGTCTGGAGCCAGGCTATAATACCTCTTCAAAGTCTGCAGTCAGACCAAGGTTGGCGGGCCTTCCTCTGGAAGCATGGACAGCCCTGTCTCCCATTGGGCTCTTGGGTGGGCAGGACTACTCCTACTCCTGGGGCCACTTCAAGACCTACTGTTGGGCCAAGGTCAGCAGGTCTGCTTCCATGAGCATGAACAAATGTGCCTGCTGGCAAGTCCCTGAGATAAGTAAGACTGCTCTTGGATCAGGGCTGAAAGGGACTGGAACTGTATCAAGTCAGCAGGCCTATTACCTGGGGCACAGTGGGGCATGACTCCTCTTGGGTCCCTTGGTAGACAGAGCTGGTGGCAGGACCAAAGCCAAACAGAACTGCAGCTGAGTCCACAGGGGGCCAGGGATGTTTCTGGTTCTGTAGCCAGGACCACCATTAGCTAGCCTGACACCTGGGCATAGACCTTTCTCAAACTAGTCCTTCTCAGCCTTGAGCTCCACCAAGGTTTTGAAAGCTCCTATTGGGATCCCAGAGCTCCCACAAATATACTTTTGTCCATGGATGGCTGCCAAGTTACTGTTGCTGTGGGTAGTTATGAGCAAGAGACATCTATTAGACCTCTATTTTGATGTCACTTCCAGGGTGGTGCATCTTTTCATACGGCCAATAGATATATAATTATGATTTCCTTAAAATAACTTCTTACACTATTGTTTTGTTTAGATGATCTTTAATATTTTTTTTTCCAATAATATCTATCCCCAGGAATATTGACTAAGTCTGTGAAATTTCTTTGTCTTTTTGTATTCCATCGTATGACGTCTTTAAGCATCTGGATTAGCACTGATTGCTATTGTTTCTTTCTTAACAGTACTTTTTGTTTAAAAAAAAAAAAAAGTAATTGAAAATATTTTTACTTCCGGTAATGATGGACTGAGTCACTCAGCTGACTCTTTCACATTTCACTGTCTAGGACAAGGCACATGGCCAAACCTGAAGCCCATGACACAGGGAATCATATGTTCACCAAAGGAAGAGCATCAAGTATTTTAAACAGAAATAAAAAACAATGATTCTGAACTATTAGTACCCCTAATGGTTTGGAAAAATAAACAAACATTCTCTCTGGAGAATGATAACCTTACCCTAGACTTCAAATAACTACTAAAATGTCCAGCAAAAATAACTAGGTCATGTGAGGAGACAAGAAACCATGAGTGATAGCCAGAAGAAATAATTGACAATAGAGACATAACTATAGAAACTTCAAGTATTGGGATTATCAGAAACATATTGTAAAAGAGCTGCTTACTATGTTCAAGGAGATAAAAACCAAGCTTAAATTTCAGTAGAGAACTATAACCTATAAACAGTGAAATAACAGATTTGAAAGTGAACCACATAGAAATTCTACAACTGATAAAATGCAGTAACCCAAATTAATAAATCAGTAGATAGTTTTAACAGTGGATTAGACATAGCCAAAGAATGAATTATCAAAGTAGAAAACAAATCAGAAGAAAATAATCAAAATACAGCATGTAAAAACAAAAGGTAAAAAATATGAAGAGAACAGTAAGAGATATAGAGAACACATTGATGTTTAGCATACCAGTTAAACTCTCAGGAAGAAAAAAAGTAGAGACAATATTTACAAAGTTTAAGGCTGAAAATTTGTCAGAGATTGTGAAAAAAATCACACAATTCAAGAATATTATATTTTCAAGTCAACAAAAACAGTTCACCAACAAACTGACACTAAAAAGAATTTCTAAAGGGAGGGCACTCTTAAAAATATAAGAAATAGAGATCAAAGAGTATAAAATATATGGATAAAGTTAAATGAGTATTGACTATATGTAATAAGTAATATCTTATATTTAAATATATATAAATATTTACATATAAGTCCTATTGTAGTTCATTACAAAATAGCATAAATCAGGAGAAGTAAATGGAGATAAGGTGTTCTAAACTCTGTACAGAATGGGAAAAGGATAAAGCTATCAATTTGTGTTAGACTTTGATAAACAGAAGTGGAGTACAACCTAACTGTGGAAGATAAATGTGGGAGATAAGTTAAAAAGCTCCTAGAAGATAACATAGAATAATATCTTTATAGCCATGAGATAGGAGAAAAAAAAAATTCTTAAGGATAGAAAAGGCACTAATCATAAAGGAAAGGATTGGTAGGTTGATTACATTAAAACAAGAGACCAATCATCTGGACACTATAGGAAGAGTGAAAAGCCAGGGTACAGAGTGGTAAAAGATTTTTGGAACATGATAACAAAAGACTCATATCTATATTTATAGTTAGTAATAAAAACACTCATAACCCAATAGAAAATTGAGTAAGTGATTTGAATGAAGTGTTTCCAAGAGAGGAAATCCACATTGCCTTAAACATATGGTAATGTGCTCAGTCTCAATCCTCAGAGAAATGTGTGTTAAAACCACAATGAGGTGCCACTATACAACCAACACAATGATTTAAATTTTATAAGCTGACAATACCAACTTTTGAGATAAGGGAGCAGCAGGTATTCTGCTGTGTTTGTGTGAATACAAATTAGGACAATGATTTTGGAAAACAGTTTGGCACACCCTGTAAGCAGCAGTTCTACTCATGTATGTACAGCCCAACAAAAATGTGTTCATAGCAGTATTATTCATAATGATCCAAAACTAGAAGTAAGTCATCTATCATCAACAGTAAAATGAATGAATTATGATGTATCCTTACAGTGAGTATTCAGCAATGAAACATGAGCAAGAAATGAATAAATCTTACTACATAAAGTTGAGCAAAAGAAGCAAGACAAAAGTCATACGTGCTGTAGGATTCCATTTATACAACGTACAAAAAGGGAAAAAGTGATAAATGATGTTAGAAATCAGAAAAGTGGTTACCTTTAGGAAAGAGAAAAGAATGTGTGGGAGGTGAGAGAAGCACGGGGACACTCACAATGTGCTATGTTTCTTGATCTGAGCAGTGGTCATATAAGTGTCCATTTTGTGATGTTCATCAAGCTATACACTTACTTTCTATACATTTTTCTGTATAATTTAATTTTCAATTAAAAATACTGTTTTAAAAAAATGTAGTCGAGGGAGCACCCAGTGATTCTTGAGATTTATAAGGACTCAAATATAAAGCGATGTCATCCTTAGGATAGCACTGAAGAAAGCACTTCCTTATGTTGGTGAGGTATTCTTTATCTGCCTCTCTCCCCTAACAGTCCTTGACCTTCTTGGGGCAGGGCCTGTGTCCTCATCTCTGCCTGACACAACGAATTCTCACTGCTTGTTTGTGGGATTCACGAAATAATGTACTAACGTGAAAAGTATGTTCCCATTCCCAGGTTAAGAAAACAACTGAAGCCACCTTGCAGACAATACAAGATATGGTCACCATCGAGGACTATGATGTGTCTGAATGCTTCCAGCATAGTCGCTCCACAGAGTCTGTGAAGTCTACTGTCTCTGAAACCTACCTGAGTAAGCCCAGCATCGCCAAGAGAAGAGCGAACCAGCAGGAGACTGAGCAGTTCTACTTCATGGTGCGTCAGTTGCTTCCCTAGCCACTCTTGGGGCTCAGATCTGGGGTCCCCAAATGCTACTTCTGGAGTTCCATCAGCATCATCTCGGGTTCATTATTAAAATATGTCTACCTTCGGAGTTCCTGATTCAGTTGGTCTAGGATAGGGTTTAGGAGTTAGTACTTTTTAAAAGAGATGAAGACAAATTTTAAGAGATCTGCATTAATACAGAACTTTTAAACTTTAATGAGCATACGTGTCACCAAGAGAGCTTGTTAAAATGTGGATTCTGATTTCAACAGGTCTGGGGAGGGAGGGACCTGAGAGTGTACCTCTAATAGGTTCCCAAGTGATGGCTGACACTGCTGGTCTGCATCAGACCACACTTTGAACAGCAAGGTTCTAGGATCTCAAGCAGTGGTCCCGTCCTTTCTGGCACCAGAGACTGGTGCTCCTATGAGAATCTAATGCCTGACCTTCTGAGGTAGAGCTGAGGCGGTGATGCTAGCGCTGGGGAGCGGCTGCAAATACAGATGAAGCTTCGCTTACTCCCCTGCTACTCACTTCTTGCTCTGCGGCCCGGTTCCTAACAGGCCACGGACCGGTACTGGTCTGCAGCCTGGTGGTTGGGGATCCCTGATCTAAAAGATAAAAGTGTCTAAATTTTAGATATCCTATGGGAAGTTCCTTGACATTAAATTTTTTTTTTTAAGTTAAAAACAAATCTTTCCTTCTGCAGAAACTCAGAGAATATTTGGAAGGTAGTAATCTCATCACAAAACTTCAAGCCAAACATGACTTATTGCAGAGGACTCTTGGAGAAGGTCAGTCATTTGAAATAGAGGGGAAGATGACATGGATTATATGTGGTGTCATGTGTATATTCCATGAAGTGCGTTGATTGTGGATTTGTGCTTTAAGAAGCAGAGAACACTGTTTGGATATGGCCTTATCTATCTCTATAATAACCTGCTTCTCTCTGGAACTATTTCTTGATGAGCCTGGTGCTATCCTTGGGGTTGAACAGTGAAGTCTAGGGAGGGCTAGATAGCCAACACAAAGCTCCTAAGGAAAGATTTTCAGAGCATGGTGCCCCTGACAGTAGAGAAGTCAGAAGGAGCTGCATTTGCCCCTACCTGCTAACCTCGTAGTCACCGCTTCCTTCTTTCCTTAGCCTTTTCCGCCTCTCCAGCCCCACCCTGTTTTTTTAATGGACCAATATTTTTGTCCCATCTAATGCCTTTTTGGACCCTAGAAAGCAGTTAAATCAGTTTGGGTGACTTTTTTCTTTCCATAGGCATTGGTTTTAGTTGAGAAATAATCTCATTAGGTATATTTCTATATCTAATAATAGAAAAAACAATAGTAATAACACTTACATAAGACTTTCTCTGTGCCAGGCATTGTTCTGAGCTATATATTTAACTGTATACTATTGATTTCTCCGTTTTTACAGGTGAGAAAACTGAGAGGAAAAAGGGATTATAGGCAAAGAGGACTACCAAAATGTTACTGTTTCTCTTTAATCTACAGGAAATTTAAAAGGAAAAAATAAATACAAGCAAAATCCGTGTCTTAAGTACCTCATAGTCTGTAACTTTTACTCATTTTTTACTCACATTAGATCCCACTGGAAGGTTTAAAAAGTGAAAGAGAATATGAATGGGAGTGGGAAATGAGGAACTGAGTTGTGTGAGTAACTTAGGCCAAAAGAGATTGCTACTCTTTGATGTAAACTCTTGCCTCTTGTCATTCTAGAACCTTCCTTACCTATAAAGAATTTTTTTCATCACCTTATTTCCTTGTTTCTCCAAAGGCCCTATTATCTTCCGGGAATGACCTCATGGAGAAAGCTCATCATGACCTAAAACTCTACGTATTACAGTTAGGATGCCAGATTGTAAGATAAGAGGCAGGTTTCACTTAGAAAAAACATTAACATTTATACTACTAAAAAGTATCTTAAAAATATAAAATAACCACACACAACATGTGAACTTTCATTAGATTCTGAATCAAAAAATAAAAGTTACAAAAGGCATTTTAAGGACAATTGGGGAAATGTAAATATAGACTGTATATTAAATGATATTATTAAGTTAATGTTAATTTTCTTAAATATGGTGGTACAGTTAATGAAGGAAAATATTCTTGTTCTTAAGAAATGCTTGCTGAATGTCATTATGTTTGCAGCTTACTTTCAAAATGGTTCAGAAAAAAGATCTGGGGATTGGGGGAGAGAAAGAAATAAGGTCAATGTGGCAAAATGTTAACGATTGGGAAATCTAAGTGAAGAGTACATGAATGTTCCTTATGCTTTCAACTCTTCTGTAACAGGAGTTTCAACTTTTTTTAAAGAGATCTTTTTGTACTTTCAATAGATCTTACTCAGGAATTGTGTCCTGTGGTTTTTCTCTTTTTTCCTTTATAGTCATTAAAGGTCTTTTTTTTCCTTCCATTTTGCACAAATGCCCGGGATTTCAGTTATACCTCTAAGATCAGGCACGAGTCCCAAAGCATAGGTTGTCAAAAGTGTGGATGAGTGCTTATAGGCACAGAGTCCTTCCCTACAGGACTGGATACCACTTTAGAAATTGTGAGTTGGAAGGAATTAAGTAGTGGGAGAATTCATTCTTGGCATCGCGTGCGGATGTGTTAATACACTTGGGATCTCATTCTGAGAATTTTATGTTACTCATTCTACATAGATTCTCTTATGTCTCCTGGGGAAAAAACCCCAGTGGTTAATATTATTTTGCATGCCATTATTGGATAGGACTATATTTTAGCCAGTTTGCTGAATCCATACACCAGATTCCGTCTTTACTCAACTGTGTAAAGGTATATTGCACCTTGTAAACTCGAAGCCATGATTTCCTCATCTTGGAATTTCTTTCAATAATTTCTAGTGTCCTAGTGACATGAGCTGTGTTCAGATGTACCAGGCCTTCACTGGACTAGATTTATTCTACATGTAAAACTGGTTGGTTCTCATCTGGTGGCAGTAGACACACTAGCCTCTGCCCACTGGTTACAGACCTCTCTTCTCCTTAGGCTTGCCCAGAGTGTAGACTTGAAAGCACACCAGTTGTCATTGGTCACTGCCTGGGGTTGACACTGGCAGCTTTGCCCAGAGAAAAGCCAAGCGTGGAGATTGTGCCTCACCGTTTAGCTTGACCATTGTCAGGCTGCTAACTTTCCATGTGAGCCCCGTTTGCGTTAATTGACTTGCATTGCACCAAAGGAGACAAGGAAAGTTAATGGCGCCTGTCCCACAGTGAGACAATGCAATGGCAAGCCCTTAAGAAGGAATCCAAGTTGAGATTTGGCTAAATAAGTTTAGTAGCACAGGACTAACTCAAGGGTTTAGCAGTTGATCATACACAAGTAAAACTATAACTGCAGACATGGGCCCGTATAACTGTTCACTTTTGGCAGGCTACCAGTGGCCCAGTACGTCCTTTGATTTACAGCACTTCAAAGCATCTACATTGAGCTCTAAAGTTGCACTGTCAAAATTCAGAATTCCAAATCTTTGAAATATATTGAAATAGAAATAAATTTGTTAAGACCAAAGTCGTCATCATCTTCTTCATCCTTCCGCAACAGCATTACATCTTTTTGCGATGTCATTTATTTTTAAATTGGAGAAGTTAAATTGAGCACCGTAAATGAGTGCTGAAATTTTTTTTTTCTTTTTTAGCAATGAGCCTTAATGTTCACATTGGCTTCTTTGTGTGCAACATGTGGAATTAAGGGGATGTAAATATCAGAGCAGTTTTTGCTAAATACAGAAAATCTGACACTAGAAGCTCAGTTCCGTGTTATATTATTTCTAGCCCTGGGCATGAGGTTCTGATGAAGGCATTAAATAGGTTATCCTCACACAATCTATTGTCTGTCTTTGAGTAGGAGCATAAATATACTTTCGAAAGAAAAGATGATTGTGAATAATTGTGTTTTTTTAGAAAAGCCCTGAAGTAGTTGTTATTAAGGAAGAAAAAGACTGGAAAGTAATGCCAGGAGTTCTTACCAGTCATTCATCAGGGACCTTCATTCAGTTCGAGACGCGCGCATTTTCAATATTTTATTTAGTTGTGTTTATGTTTTAAATCTCAAATTGCCACCAAATTATGTTTTGGTTTTCCTTTTTACTCTGTAGAGATAAAATACATTTGGGCGTGAAAAATAATTCACTTCCTAATCCTCAAGTGAAATTGTAAGAGTAGTCGAATTAGGTGTTTATATCAAGAACAAGATAATCCTGGGTCTTTGGTCATTTTTTTCCTCCAAATGGCATGTATTGGGGGGAAAGGGAGAATGAGTTGTCTGTTGTTTTTAATAATTAAGTAGCCTTCCAAAGAAAATGATTGAAATCTAATCCTCAGACCACTGGAAGCTTTCACATTTCTCCAGGAAGCAGATTCTTCTAAGCTTGTGTGTTATTGATCTATTAATGATGATACTGATTAAAAAAATAAAACCTCATTTATCAGTTGAGACACACTCAGTACTATTAGCTGGACAAAACCGGATGTGGTGGTGGTAGTTATACTATGAATGCTAGTTCTTGCAAAGCTTGCTCTTGGTTCATTAATCAAAATGTATCTTTTATAGACTTTTAATTTTTTATCTCATACTGTTAACTATGGATGGATGGAGCAAAACGATTTTAAGCCATTTTATATATGACCTTTTTCTAAATCTAGATTGGGCTATTTTAACAAAAATAGCAGATTTTAAAATTATAAAGCATTTCATGTTTAAGGAATTATTATTGGCATCTTATCATTGAATTACTTGAAAGTGATTAACTTCTGTTTTTCAATTTAATTGTATAGCTATTTTTAAGTTTGTTTAGTAATTTATTAAATTTATTAGGTCTTCCAGGAAAAGTTGAAAATCACATATCACCTATATGTGGGATATAAACCTAAAAACAACAAATGAACAGGACAAACAGAGACTCGTAGACATGATCTATAGACTAGTGGTTACCAAAGGGGAGGGAGTAGGGGGGAGGTCGATGGGGGGGGAATAAATAAATAAAATAACGCCATTACTGTAAAAAAATGAGATAGCACACTTGTGCTATATGATATGTATACTCAATAGCAGGTATAAATTATACTAAAAAATAAATGCACAAGAAATATCACAGCACATTTTACAAATAAAACAATGATAAATTTATTAGGTCTTCAGTATTTTATATTTGGCTTTAGCCATATGGAACAGGTAGAACTGTAAGCCATAATCCTTACCTCACTTCCAGGATCTTTCAAAGTATTTGCTAGGGGAAAAAAGACATATTTTTACAATATATTACGTGGGAGCTCAGGTCTAGAATTAAAACAAACCTGGACCCTAGTGCCAGACCCACCACATACTAATAGTATGAACTTAGGCAAGTCACTTGCTTTCTCTATGCTCAGGCTCTTCTGTAAAATAAGAATAATAATAGTATTTACTTCATAAGGTGGTGAAAATTGTAAGTTAATATTTAGAAAGTGCTTAGAATTGTCTAATAAATACTAAACACCATTGCTGTTTTTATTGTCACTACTAATATATTATTTTATATCATACTACTAGTTTCTCAACCCTCAACCCTTTACTCATTCTACTGACTCATCCTGGGTGATCTCAGCTAGGTCCCGTGGCCCTAACACAACCTAAATGGTAGTGACTTTCAAATCCTAATCTCCAACCCTGTCTTCCTTTTGCACTTTAACTCTGGAAAAAACCTGCTGAAGTATCCCATAGGCACCACGTGCCACACTCAACTCACTATTCGCCCTCTACTTTCTGGTAGGCCTTCTCTCCCACTTATGAATATCTGTAAATTATTTTGGAGTTCTGTGTCCACCTTCTCTTTTTTTCTTCTCCCCAAAGTAGCAGAAAGCCAGCAAAAGGAAAGGACTTACAGTTAAATGGCAGGTAGAACCAGATAGCAAGGGGAAAATCAGATTCTTTTTCTTTCCCCTCACCCCTACTCCAAGTCATGGCCAAGACCTGATTCTGCCAACAATCACAGTGGCCTGGATCTGTGTTGAGAGAGGTATTTTCTGATCTTAACTGTTAGCCCCAGATGAGTAAATAGATACCAATCAAAAACTTTATGTTACTTGTTATTCAAAAGGAAACAGTAGAGTAAAGACTCCTTTGCAGCCTGAGACTGTTCATTCACCATTCTTAGCAAGCCAGCTTTCTCTACGATTATTTTATTGGCCTTGCCCTACAAGTCTGAATCACTGCATTATATGATGAACTGGACTCACTTGTTTGCGCTACAGCATTACCCTTCTTTGCTAGCTATATTTTCAGGCTGTTTGAGCACTATATCATCATTCTGCAAACAAACCAGTCGAATGGTTCACTTTCCCACACCCCTTCCCATGGTTCTACCCTAAATGTAAGAAAGAGCAGACAGCAACCATAGACACATTCAAACTTGAAATGACTGTAACTTATAGGAACACTACAAAAATACAGAGTTGTTATGTAAAACAAGTTAGGAATTCCGAATGTGTAAGAAGAACCTCATGTTTTAAATAACAGAATTCTATGAAAGGCTTTTAGCCTACAAGTCGATAGGATGTAGCATAATTTAATGTCCTTGTACTTTAATATCTGCAAATGTCATTTCTGATTTCAAAATGCAACTTCTCTCTTCGATTTCATATTATAGGAAGAACACCAATTTATTCTAAAGGAAATTGAGTTCTCCCAATTTTATTTAACCCCCTGCTTCTCTCGCACAAGTGCCAATCAAGACAGAGGGAATAACTAACATTTGAATCTTCTATGTGTTTTATTTGCATTTCATCCTTAAATTTACAGTTAAGATCAAGCATCTATTTCTTGCTAGGAAAAAAAAAAAAAAGAAAAATTCTGCCTCAAATTGCCAAGTGAAACATGTTTCTCCAGTCTATAGGATCTATTAAGTTTTGTGTATAGATTTTATGAAATATTTACTTTGAATTTTTTCTGTCATTATGTGCTATCCTCATGCTTTCCTCCATAAAATGTGTAAGTTATTATAAACTCAGAATCTCAAAACAAGAGACAGATGATACAAAAGATTACTGAATGCACTCCACTAATTCCATTCAATTTACTTATTTTACTTTTTTTCTGCAGGTCATAGAGCTGAATATATGACTACAAGGTAGGAAAATATTTTATTGTAACTTGTATCTCACTCTCTTTAACAAGAAACAATCATTTAAATGCTGCAAGAATGAACATATTTTCTTAATAAACATGGAAGATAGTTTTGGCTTGACAAAACACAGTAACATGAAACATTTGGGGTTCTCACAGAACCAGATTTGCTCTGGCAGATCTGAGGATTTCCCAGTGGAATTGTAAAGCTCTTTAATGAGCAGATTCAGTTGCGGGGAGTGGGGGAAAGACCTAAATTGAAAGCTTTGGGTTTATCTGATTTTCTAGAAAAAAATCCAAGACTTTTGATTTGATAAGTTCGTTAACAAGCAATGTTCTGTGTATATCTACTGTATTAGCAAATAGAAAGAATGGTTAGTTACATTCTGCTCCTACTCTCAATTATGTCATATAAAAATTAGAGCTATGTTGAATATTCTTAGGATTTTAGCGCTCTATCCTTTTTTGGTTCATTTTAAAGATTTAACTTTTAATGCCCACATACTGCACTTCTTTTTTTTTCTTTCTTTTTAATTCATGGAAAGATTTTGAAACTACTGCTGAGGGGAAAAAAAGCCTTTTTGGAAGCAGATTCTGATTTGGAGTGGGGAAAGCTTATGGCAACTTTTTTTTTTTTTTTTATGTTCACATTTGCGTAACAGCCAGAAATTATTCTAATTAACATAGCAAGACTTTGCACTTCTAACGCTGAGTTCTCTTTGAGGTAAGAGGCATTTAGAACACTGATGTGTCTGTTGCAGTAATTGGCAAGTTGATTTTCAAGGTTATAATGTTCCTGCTGGGCCATTTATTCAAAAGCAAGCCCCTCTTCTAGGTGAACTAATGAGAAAGGTGCAGCTATTGACTTGTCTAAACTTTACAAAAATCCTGAGCTTTTTTTTCCCTCTATCAGTGGTGAAGAGGAATATTACTTCTGCACAGTAATATGCAGCTTATGGAGCTTTTTTCACATATAGTCTCTCTTTGCACTATCAATATTTTGTCTATTGTTTCTAAATTATAATTAATGTAAGGCACTTCAAAAAAAATTTTTTAAAGGAGAAGGAATGCAAATATATTAATTTGGAATGACAGTTGTAATTGCCAAATAGACTGGATATTCACATCACTCTAACCTGGTACTTTCTCTCATCCGCACTGGTATCCTACATAGGTAGCCAGATTATCAGGAAGTTATGTGGTAAGCACACACCCAGAATGAGTCATATAATTCGAAAGAGTCATACAAGGTTGAATGGCCCTGGCTTTGCTCACCTGATGTGTACATAGTAGAGCCAGAATCATCAGCACACCATTCTGCCTGAAAAACCACCTCTGCCCTGGAAGTTACTCTGATAAGCATTCAGGCAGTTTGTTTTAATCTCAAGTCTCTCTTGGAATTTTAGTATCTTCACATTTGCCTCATATTTTAGAACTATAGAGAGAGGCGATTCTCAGGCCTTTGGTAGAAAACTCAAAAGACATTCCTCCATTAGCCCCAGCCAGGGGTTACTCTATATCTCTCAGTCATGCAGGAACTATTACCCAGTGCCACTTGGAGCTTTGGCACCCGCTACAATTTTGCTTGTCCCACAAATTAGTGACCAAACAGAATGAACCTGTGTTCTTATCCTCTTAGCTTTGTCAACCATTCCAGATACCACCACATGTGAATCTCTTTTGGACCTTTTTGTAATAACCACGTTTCCTAGTTTCCACATTTGATGTTTTGCTGTCTTGGGGCCTTGCTGACTCTGAAGGGACTGCCCCTCTGAGGGTTAGCCAGTTCCTAGAGATAGTAAAAGACTTGCTTGCAAGTGTGCCTTGTAAACAAACCAACCAATCCAGAGCCCATCCCCTCAGCCACCTCCTTCCTTTATTGAGCTTTCACACACAGGGCCACTGTTCCCCTTCCCAAATCACCCGAAGGCCAGGTACCAGCCAAATAGGGACAGCTCCCTCTGTCTCAGACCCCACCAAAATTACTCAGACTAGCCAATCCTAAACCTGTGTACCCTGCCTTGCCCATTCCTTCCCCTGGGAACCATAGCAAAGACTCTTGCCCACATTTTCCCTCGCTCCCTCTGACCCCTGACCCACCCTGCAGCTTTTCCATGTGCCCACCTCCCCCTCACCCCCGTGTAGTGGCATTTCCCTCCTCTTGAGAGCTGTGAGTAATAGACTGTCTTTTCAATGACAGTTGTTTCTGATCTGATGGCCTCACCACTCCTGAACAAAAATAAAGTCTGCATTTTAAATGCTTCTCAAATAATGAAAAAAGTAGATGAAATCAAGTACATATGGTTAAATTCCTTGGTGAGCAGTTGTTTCCTTTTCTGTTGTTGTTGTTGTTGTTGTTGTTAAATCTACCAGATAGTTTCCTCTGTGAATAACACAGAATTCATTGTATAAAGAGTAGAAGTTTCAGCAGTGGCACATTATGACTTGCTGCCTGGTAGACATTTCCATATTTGCTTCTAGACACTTGCAAAGGTCCCTCTTACCTCTCAACAAAAAACAAAACAGCAAGCACCGTAAGACTTCAGGTGCTGCTTGCTGCATGCCCCATTATTCATATGAGCCCACCTACTGGGGGAGTCTTAGAATTTGTGTGTGGAAGGCTATATTAGCAAGTGTGTTCCCCTACCTCTCTTGATTGTAGTGGTAATATCTTATAAAGCTGGGCAGGCTTCCACAGAGATTCTTGGGATTTTGTTTCTAAACTGGTATTTCTGAATTTTGATAAACTAAAAAGGTAATTCTTCCTACAGAGTTTGCAGCTTAATGAAGGGCTTTACCTAATTTCCAGGTGTGATGTACATCCTCATATAAGCCTTCCAATTAAGTTTACATTGATATGTCCAAAGAGAGGTTTTCCATGCATTCCTTCAGCATATTTGTAGAAGTTGAGTCAGGTAATTCTAGACCACTTTGCTCTAAAGGGAGAAGACAGAATAGGACCCCTCTCTCCAATTTCAGAGCTTGACGATGCAGGGTTTCTAAATATAGTACATGATACACTGGATGTGCATACATCAAACAGACTAGAGGAGGAAACAGTTCAGAACAATAAATGGGTACATCCTAATGCTCTACAGATATTTAGGTGATGAGATAGTTTGTTTTAAAGAAATAACAATTCACATGAGTCCGTACACCTCTCCCCTAGAAATAGCATTGAAACCCAACGCTGTCTTTTCACTTGTGATCCATTAACAGTTACTTTTGCATAAAATCAAAACTCGTTAATACCTGAGGGATACTGAACAGATATGATGTTTCACTGAAGGATTATGTTGTAACTGAAAATATGATATTTAAGTTCTCGTATTGGGATCTATCAGAGCCCTAATTTTTATGATGCTTATCATTCTTAAACAAACTAGCAAACACATGTCAGCTACAACATGCAAGAAAGTAGTAATCTGAATGAATAGTTTATATGGTTTTTGAGCTATAAGTAAAAGTAAATACAAAAAAAGTGGGGGGGAGGACTATTTTCTCCTGTGGGTGGGGGTGGAGAAGGAGCACAGAATTCCTGTGTTTTATAATTTTGATGTGACCTATGGGTATTTCACTTATTGTTTGATTTCTGCCACACTCAGTAATTATATTCCCTTCCCTTAGGCCTCCAAATGTTCCCCCTAAGCCCCAGAAACACAGGAAGTCCAGACCCCGCTCACAGTATAATGCTAAGTTGTTTAATGGGGATTTGGAAACGTTCGTCAAGGTACTGGCACCAGCCATCTGGGTGGCTGATCTCCATGCTTCTTACTATAATGGTCTCAGCCTCTTATAAAAGGAGGCAGGTCATTATGTCCAAGTCTGTCCTGGGGCTCTTTGCTTTCCCAGAAAATCAATATAATATTTCCTGAAGTCAGAAAAGAATATTTGGTTTGAGTGCCTTCAGAAGAGGATGTAAATGTGGGTGTTAATGTGGGCAAAAGAGAAAGCCCTCTTTATTTAAAAAAAAAAAAAAAAGCCCTAATCTGTACAAATAGGAAAAGAGCTACCTGATAAAATGTTTTGTTTTTACTCATGCAAATGAGATGGCACAAAATATATTTTTTAAGTTCATTAATAAGGTAGCTCTGAAGCTCAGCAAGAGTTTTTGATTTCCCATGACTTGAGGAATTCATTATATTGGATAAATTGTAAGACCCTGTGGTCTGTATCTTGTATCTCTGCTGTGTTTACTCTGTCTTCTTTTTCATTCTGTATTTCTGATAATGCTTCTAGCCGAGGACGAAGGAACTCGCACGCAAGACATCAGGTATAGTGCTAGAGGGAAATGAGGACACAGCGTCTTTCACTCTTGGAATCATTTTCAAATCATAGTCATGCTTGGCTTTAATGGGTTTTTAAGGTCTTTAAAAGAAAAATGTTTGCAGATGGAAATTAGATAGGTTTATAGATAGGCTTTACTGAGAAAGAAGTTATGGAAATCAAACACTGACTGAAGAAGAATAAACTCTTAGTTCTTATGTATTTGGCAAACGTACCAAATTGAGTCAGTGGCTTTTATTAAGGAAAGTCAGTTTTAAATACCAAATGCACATTTAATACTGGATTTTGGACCCTTATGTAAATTTTACCCAAAAAAAGGAAGAAATTAATGTTTCCTGGCTAACATTTTATGACATGGGCTGCAGTGTTTCTGAAGACTAAATTTATATAGGAAACCACATCATTGATAATCCTCCCTTAATAATGTTACAGATATCTTCTTACATTCTTAATCATGTATTACAGACGTATTACTTTCTTTAAAGGCAGATCTTTTATTGAACATGTACTCCAATGGTTGAAAAATGCATGCGTGCACGCTTGTGGCATCTGTATGGACAGATACATACATATATACTTACACACACAGATTGACTACCTCTAGCAACCTTAAAAATTAGCCCTAACCCTAGAATTAAGTGAAAGGCCACTGGGCAACCTAAATAGCAATCATAAATGCAGTGCCATAAGCTTTAAACCCAGAAGAACCTTATTGGCTCTAATTTAATAGAAAATTATTGTCAAATTTGATTATCTAGTTTCCCAGCCTAGAGCTTCTAAGCAGGGGCAAATTAGATGGAGAGAAGGGAATGATAAAATGAAAGCACTGAGATGTGCAGCTGATGGCCCAGCAGAGGAAGAGAATATAAGAAAGCTCAAAGAAGCAGATGAATTAGTCCATTATATCTGATAACACGGTACAAGAATGACTGCTTAAGATGACAGGAGAGCACAGGTATTTTTATAAAAGATTTTTCATTAAGAATAGTTAAAGGAAACCAAATTTAGGCACTAAAGGAGTAAACCAGTTATCATGAGAAATTCACTTACATATGAGAGCCTTTCACCGTTTCAGATGGCACGTTAAATAATCTTTGGTAGTAGCAGTAATACAGAGGAGACAGATTTCTACACTTCCAAAAAGTGTCCCACAATATCACTGTGAGACAACAAGAGCAAAACCATTTTTCTTCTTTTTCCTTTGGGGAAACTGAGACTCCACGGGATTTGTTTGAATGGTAAAGAGAACACAGCTTATTGTAACTTCTTGTAAAATATTCTACCTAGGCATCTGGCATCCATGAAATTAAGTTAAAACATACACACTCATTACTTTTTGACTCTAAATTTCATTATACCTGAAAGAAATACTGATAATAGCTAAAGATTAGCAATTAGAGTAAATGTAAAGACAAAAATACTTTTAAGTAATGTGTAAACCTAAGACATTTTTTATTTACAACTATTTTAGTGCAAACATTTTCCTTTTAATAACCTTTTATTCTTTTTCTTTTTGTTTTAACACTAAGTTCAGAGGTACAAGCTAATATTCTCCTTATCGCTTACATTTAAATATTTGTCACTCTTTTAGATAACAATGTTACATGAATTATTCATACGAAGGTTACTTCTCCTAAAAAGCACTTGTATCTTAAAGAAAAATCCCCTTACATATTCAGTTGGTTTTGTTGTAATTACATTGTTGTTCTTGAGCCAACTAGTCCACGCTAAAAAGAGTATTCTTAAGGACCTTCTTTAAGAAATTAATAAAGTTTACTTTCCTAAAATAAATTAACGTTTAGAGAAACTTAATACAGGCTCCAGAAGTAATTGAACCATTAACTGGATTATACACTGATTAGATTGCCTTAAAACCTAAAATAAAACTATTCATCAAGTAGTGTATTATCCATTCTAGGAAGAGTAAAGAGTTGAAATTGCCGAACCACTTTATTTCCAATTCTTCCCCTGTGGCTTAATTGGAAAGGTTAGTGGATTCTGAATTGTTCTAATATATTAAGACAACCAAATTCTTCGTGCGTTTCAGAATAAAATTCCTCATGAATTAGTACCTGATGTCAGCTATTCATTTTGAACCTCCATGTTTCCTTTAAAGATCTAATTTCTGAAAGAGCAGAGCCTTAAAAGTACATGAAAAATAACTCCATAGTCAGTAACCTTCTTTAACTACACGGAGTGCATGGCATTGATACATATTTAACTGTGACCTCTGCAGCTCCTTCATCTCATTTGTCATCCTATACATGTTTTAAAGCATTTTCAGAATTCACATTTGTTCAATAGAGTGCTCTGCCTACATTACAAGATGTGGGGAAAGATGGCCAAAAAATGTTCCTTTCTAAGAAAACAAGATCTACTGGGACGTGCATTTGTGCGTTTTTTCTTAATCCTTAAAACATGAAAAAAAGAAAAGAAAAGAAAAATCTATAAGGATGAGTAAGTTCTGATGCAAACTAAATAAATACAAGACACATTATAAGCATCTGTGAAGAAATTCTCATATCATGCATCTGGAAACATATGAGCCTCTCAGAGATGTCACAGAGGATCCTGAGATGGCTGCAAGGTAGCGTTTGGAGACAAGTACAGCCATTCAGTCCCAAGATGCTATTGCCAATACACTGAGTTCTCTTCTAGCGCCATTAGATTTATTACTTGCATAAATAACCTTTTTAAAACAGTAGAGATTCATATATTTGTTTTGATATGTGAGCCTCAGTATAAGTAAAAGACGAATTAGCTTGACTGTCTCTAGGCACAACAGGGTTAAACCGAAGCAGCATTGCCTTAGATGTATTTCATTTGGTTTGTTCCAGAACTGAAATATACCTTTGGTTAAATGTAATTTTCTTTTTGGCCCTTGTGGAATATTTTAGAAGGGGTGTATTTGGAAACAATCATCTGAAAGAATAAAAATTACTCTTTAATTAGGGTTAAACTGTGAGCTTTATTATTACATGTGATTTAAGCCTCTCCTTGGCAGTTAACTGGTTTCCATCTCTTTACCTAGGACTCGGGACAGATTATACCCCTCATTGTGGAAAGCTGTATTCGGTTCATCAATCTCTATGGTAAGCCATAAACTACGGAATTCTTATTTAAAAAAAAAATAATCACTGGGAGTATTTCAATAAATGTGTCTTTCCATATAACATTTAATTATTCATTTAATTATTGAGAAAAAAAAAATTCCCTTCTGTTCTTTTTAGGTCTTCAGCATCAAGGGATTTTCAGAGTGTCTGGTTCCCAGGTGGAAGTCAATGACATTAAAAATTCATTTGAGAGAGGTAATTGCATGTCTTTACCCATAAGCAAGCCATGTTAAAAAGTCATCATTTTCTGTAAAGTGAAATGGCATACTCATTCTCTTTATCTTCAGAAACTTTTCTCTTTACATTTACTTCATTTTGGATATTGAGGTCAGAATCTATTTAGCATAGTTGAGAAATGAAGCCAAAATCATAAAGCTTTGTGATCAAGTATAGAAAAGCATATGAGCTTTGAATCCTGGTTTAGGCCTGACGGTGATAATCCTCAGCAGATATGTCAAAGGTGGCGCATGGAAGTGTTCTAGAAGAATGGCAAAGACGGACCTGGGCCTAGGCAGCAGGTGTTTGAGGCGACTCATGTCTACTTTCTTTGTCAGGAATTCTCATTCCCTTTATTACTGTCCCCAGACTCCTTCCCTGTGACCTTAATGGATGCCTTACTCTTGTTCACACTTGGCTATCAAATAAGTCTTACTAAACCATTAATTAGCACATGGTGATTAGAAAAACCATACACTTCTGTCAGGCGAACCTAGATTTAAATCTGATTCTTTCATTTACTAACATGTGATTTGGGCCAGGTCACTCATCCCTCGGTTTCCTCATCTGCAAAATTCCAGGATTGGAATTCCTCTGCTCAGACGTCAGGCCGAGAATGCTCAGAGAGGGCCATAATGGCACAGAGACAGGGCTACTTTCTCTCTCTCTCTCTCAGCCACGTTCCCCTGGCCTAGGCTTGGCAGGGAGCCCTTGAAAGTTTGGAATCTTGGTAAACTTGGAGGCAGATTGTTTTCCTGTTCCAAATTCTCCGATATGATGTGTAGAGCAGAGCGGCCTCCCCTGTCAGCAGCTAAGTGTTCTGAGTCTCTAACACTGACCACGTCCAGGATAAGTTGAAATGTAGTAAAACATCAGATTCCTGTGCTAGCCACAACAGGCGTTATTATTTTTCCTTGGAAATTCCCCTGACGTTTGTTATTTGTTTGTGATCTCTTTGGTGAGACTTTCTCACATTGGGCAAAAAATGTATATTTTGGTAAATTTGTGTTCATTGATTTCCTACCCTGGGAGCAGAGAAAAGGGAATAACAGGTCCCTGAAAATAAACTGCCTCTAGAGGCAAAAAATAAGTGAAACTGCAGTGTACAATTTTTATGAACTTTAGAAGAGCAGTCTTGTGAATAAAAAATAGAGTTTGATTTAAGATTGCATGGTATTGTGTTGAACTTCTTAAGACTTCTATCTCAATTTAATTCTGCTTACCACAGAGGATGATGGAATATCATATTTGCGATATATTTTTTAAATTTCCACTTTCTATACAAATGTACTGCTAAGGGTGCATTTTCAAATTCCCCTGTCTGATTGTAAAATCTTCCACTCCTAAAGGCAGCTTTCGAATATTCTGTGAACAACACCTTGCCACTTTGTGAAACACATTTAATTGTAGGTGTTTACAATTAATTGAAGTCTATAATATTTCAGATGCATTTTTCTGATCCATATAGCGTAGCCAGACAGACCTATATTATGTGTTTTTCCCAGTAGGTTAAAAAACACAGAATGTAGTATTTGAATTCATGTCAAACTAAGATTACAGATTTTAGCTTCAAAAAAAAGTTGGGTAAAATTTTAAATCCCACAATATTTTATTTTAAGAACTTGGTAACTTGTAAAGGATTATTTGTTAGCATAAGATAAAAAAAGCTTTACTTTAGTCAACTATTTTTAAGTTAATCATGGGGTGGGATATCTAAACCAATTATTTTAATTTTAGTACCATATAATCTTTCATAAAGTATAATTAAAAGATACATGTATATATAGAAATGTGTGTGTGTGTGTGTGTATAGAAACATTTTTATTCAGAGGGAAAAAGAGAAACACTGTGTGCTTAACTAATTTTTTTTTTTTTTAGGCGAAAACCCTTTGGCTGATGACCAGAGCAACCACGATATTAATTCAGTTGCTGGCGTTCTGAAGCTCTATTTCCGTGGGCTGGAAAACCCCCTCTTTCCTAAGGAAAGATTTAATGATCTGATTTCTTGTATCAGTAAGTGGACTTTTATTTTATTTTATTTTAGTCTTTTCCCACCAGAATTGTTTTACTAACCAATTTCCTGGAAAAGGCAGTGGCCCCTCTCCACGTATCCTCCCCATCTCCCTCCACCATTACCCCATTACCACCAAATTTCTGAGACCATTTGTGTTTTTTCTGGATCCAGCATGAGTCATCCTCCCAGCTGTGGCCTCACCCTTAGCTGAGTGGGCTTTGCTCCTGAACTTGCTCAGGCTCCATACAGCCCAAGAGCTTCCCACTTAGTGGCTGGAATAAAGCAGAAAGGCAGGTGCCAACGAGCTAAGGGAGAGGAGGAAGTTGTAAGCATGGAAATATAACTTCTTTTTGGCTTTTGGTTCTTGGTTTTCTCCACTAATCTTAGGAGTGGGATAATATATCTATCTTGAATGTTACTTTAAGAAATTAGGTAAAATGAGATAAATGATCATTATTACAGTGCAGGAACACCAGGTGGTAATTATGTCAGTGGCATCCAACCCCAGGAAATAGGTGAGTTGCTCTGGGACTGTGGATGATATATTATGAAACCAATAATCATCCACAGAATAAAGCATCACTGTTTTCTTCAGTGGGAGCTTTTGATATTATGGGTGGGAAGGTGAAAATAATATAAGGAATTAAGTATTAACCATAATCCAGATCCATACATCTTAAAATGCAGTGCCCCTTCAATTCCTTTTTCCCAGGCAAGGGTCTAGAGCTGACTTAATCACATCGTGAGGGCTTTTGTAAAAATCAGGCTTTAATGAGGAAATCTCCTACCCATAGCTTCCCCACCTCCCACCTGAATCAACAAGTCCTGTTGACTTGACCTCAAAAAATCTCCCTACTCAGGCTTCCTTCCCCATTCCCATCACCAGTTTCTCCCTGGAGGTGTTGTGACAGTCTCTTAAGTGGATTCCCTACTTCTACATTTTGCCCTCTCCCCACACCCTCCACATCATTCCACCTTTCACACTGTAGCTAGCTTTGAAAAGATAAATTGGGTTATATTACTCCCACCTGCCTCCCTCCTATTTCAGTCTTTCCCACCTAAAAACAAACTCCTTGGTAAGGCCAATTCAGAGAACTGAATTCTTCTTTATCTGATCTCTTTCTACTTCTGTGCACTCATCTCCTGCCACCCCTGCCCTGTTTACTTTATATTTCAACAATAGCAAACTGCAAGCATGCCGGGCCATTTCCCACCTCCCTTCACTCGCCTATGCTGTTTCATCTGCTGTCCCCAATAGCCATTTGACATCTGCTGTGAAGGCTTTGTTGAACTAGTGCTTCTCCCAGAACACCATCCTCCCCACCACCCAAAGCAGAATTAGTCACTTTTTCCTCTACTAATGTTCCACTGTGTACCTATGTCTGTAATTTTTCTTATCCCCCCATGTTGCAATTTTTTTAACCCCACTGTCCCCTTCTCTAAAGAGAGTTCAGGGAAAAGGTTAAGAATATGGGCTCTGGACTCAAACAGCCTAGGTCCAAATCCCAGCTCCAAATTGCTCACCAGCTGTGTGACCTTAGGCAAGGTTCTTAATCTCTCAGCACCTCAGTTTCATCAACTATAATATAGGGACATTATTGGTGTCATACATCATAGGGTTGTGAGAATTAAATGAGTTAATACATGTAAATTACCAAGAAGAGTACCTGGCAGAGTTTGTTCAGTGAAATGCCAATAGTTAGGCTCCACAGGCCTGTGAGGTCTTGATGGATTATTCAGTTTTGTATTCCCAGCATTTGTCATCGTTCATTCCAGGCACATGCTAAGTGCATAATTCATAGTTGTTAAATCGAATTTAAGTGAAACAAAGAGTCAAAATGCCACCAAAATTCTTTTGTTGGCATTCATGCCTAAAGTCTTGGCTCTCATTAGGTATAAATTCCCCAGTAATAATTACCTTCACCTCCACCCCTTACATGGTCTGAGTCATCTCAGTAGGCCTCTGACCTAGCTGGAAAGAACTGAAAAGGAGGTGTCACACTTCTGGAATTCTCCTTTGGCCATGTCCAAAGATTTCCCTCACATCCTAGCCAGAAAGCTTTAGTCTGGAAGAATAATCAGCACTTTACACTGCTTAGAGGTTTTCTAGGTACATATATCATATCAACGTTTATACATGTACCAGTTGGATAAAGAGCATCGGGCTACATTGTCAGTTACTATTGTAAAATTATTTCACACTTTCATTGGATAAAAAATATTTCTTTATGGTTATTAAAAGCTGAAGCCATAGAATCAGAAATATCTAGGTTCAAATCCTAGCTTTACCACTTAACAGCTTTGTAATCTTGGGCAGAGATTAATCTTATTAAATATCTATTTCTTTATCTACATCATAAAGTCTGTATGAAGAATAAATGAGATTATATAAAGTTTTAGCATCAAGCACATAGAAAGCCTCAATAAGTGTTGCTAGCTGTCATCATTGCAACTATTACAACTACTACTGTAAACCCAGGTCACATATGCCAATACCTGGGTTAGCCTCTTACCAGTTTGTCTGTCCTACTAAACATGCGTTTCTTTGACATAATTACCTCATGTATTTGGTAATAGTGTTAGTATAACACAAAAGTTGTGTTGGTTCCAGCATGATTTTGCCCAGCACATTAAACATTTTGTAACAGTCAAAGACAAATTTTCCCTCATTAAAGATTTGGGCTTAACAAAATATGAAGACCATAAAAAAAAAAAAAAAAAGGAAAGTCTACAGAAATATCTTTTGTTTATGCAAGCAGCACCTTACATGAAATGCTGCAAGTGCAAATGAAGGAGCCGCAAAGACATTTACCCCTGTATTAAAACAATGGATTAATGAAAAACATGGGTTAACCATCCTTGGGTTAAATTTTATGAAAATAGTCTCCATTGGAAACTACCCTCCAGGATCTACATCTCAAAAAAGCAGAGGCCTTGGGGTTTAAGGTTGGTAAGGGCGCTAGGTTCACACACCAGTAGAGATTTAACTGTGCTAGTAATTTTGTAGTATTGTTAATGTTTTTGTTAGGTGCTCTTTACGAACTTTTCATAGGTGTTCAGCAGTCTGTCCCAACCGTGCTTTTCCCCGTAAGTCCTGTTATTTTTAGTGAATAGTTCTGCAGAATAGGATGTTTTCAGGAAATGTAATGGCACATATATAATAATCCCTTTTCTTCTAACCTCTGATCTCTTAAAAGAGGGGTTTCCTGGCTATTATTGATTTACTTCTGTGTAAGCACTTTCTCTTACCAGTGTGACCATGATGTATCTGTATTTTTCCTAGATTTTCAGTAAATCTTTGGGAATGGTATAATATGTCCCTCATCATTATATTATATCATTGATATTACAAACTTTTGGTGATTTGAACCATTGATTAATTACTTACAATGTGCAAAACTTTCTGGGGATTCAAAAGCTTGATTTTTCCATTAAGAAGGCTTTAAGTAGAGGACATAATACATTTCCAATAAATGCAGTCTAAGTGAGTATGTGATAGAAGCACAGAGATTTAGAACTTTAAAGAGACAGAGAAATCTCACGGATATCGATTGTTTTTATTCATGTCATATTCTCTAGAATTGACGTAATTGGATTTGATTTTCCCTAGTAAGATAATTGCATGTGACAGTTATTCTGCATAGAAAAATCTCCCCTTTTTATCTTTTCTAAGAGTTTACATAAACCTCTGGAGCACTCCTACTCTTGGCTTACCTATTTCGGGATTGTTTGGGGAAAGATTTTTTTTTTTATGGCGAGTTATTATTGTGCCATTTTTATGCCCCTAAATACCACATTCTTTGGAAGCTTGCAGTGTATGTAGTAAAAGGAAATTGGTCTTAGCATTCTCTCTCTCTCTCTTTTAACGTGCACTATTTATTCCCCAATTTGCTGCAAATTTATTTTTAAAAATTGCTTATCAGAAGACCTGGTGAACTCAAATGCAACCTAACTTTGAAGTGACAGACTTGATAGTATGTCAGTTTCTCACCCAAGGGTTGTTTTTGTTGTCATAGTTGTTTTTAAACCATCTATTTTGTGAATGGTTTTGTGACTGTTCCAGGTTATGCCCACACAGTCTGGGCAGCTTCTAGAATGTCTGTGTCTTATGGCTCTGAGATTCCCTAGGGCATAAGGCCAAATGACCTGCTCTAGAGGAGCTACTCAAGCAATTCTTGGTCTCTCCTGGCTGCCTCAGGGCTGAAAGCCAAGATGAAACATTCGCACTTCATTTTCCGTTATATATGATTATTTAGGTGGCACCTCTGGACATGAGGAAACATTTTTTTTGCAGGGGGGAGGGGCGTGGATTTTACCTATCACAAAACCGACGTGTAGTCATTGTAAAATATGTGAAAATAAAAGCACATAGAAGAAAATACTGTCATGTACAGTGCTACTACCCAAAGAGAGCCAATGGAGTGTACACATTTTGTTGCAGTTTCTTCTGCTCTTTTTCTATTCATGTACACACTCAACCTTTTTTAAGCCAAAGTAGAACTGTGCTGTCCATTCTATTCAGAACTGACCTTTTTGACTTTTTCATTATAGAAAATTTCAAATATCTATAAAAAGATACAGAAAAATAAAATGAACTCCGGTGTAAATAGTCACTTAGCTTTAACAATTTTCATTACTTGGACAGAATTATCCCACCTATTCCCCTTCCATCATCCTTCTGGCATCTTATCACTTCACCTGTATGTATATATCTCAAGAGATGAAGACTCCTTTTTTTTGTATGTACAATATAGCCACAATGCCATTATCATACCTAAAAAATAACAATGATTCATTAAAATTATCAAGTAGCCAATGAGTGCTTTGAAAAAATAATCGTTTATTATGCTATTAATATGTGATCATTGTAGAAAAATTAGAAAATAAACTAGAAAAACAAATCTTCTATAATTCCTCCACAAAAAGATAATGTTAATCTTTTTAGTGTCTGATTTTTTTTTTTTTATACATATACTTATGTACTTTTAAAAGCAGCTTA